GAGCATGGGGCGTCTGGGCGGAAGAATCTTGACTTCAACCCAAGGCGCTCGGGCGTCAACGCTTCAGAGATGAAGTGCCCGGCACGCCAACGGCGCCCTACCGCCGGCGCTGATCGATGCAGGGAAACGTTGATTGCTATTCATCCATGGCGCACGTTCGCGTCGGTGAGGAAGGCAGGCAGGGTCGAGGGGTGGCGATCCCTGAACGGGAATTATACGCTCGAGTCCACGGCAACGGTTTGCAGCCGAGGCAAAAGGACAACAGACGTTCTGTCCTTTATACCCAGTCCGTTCATCAACATCCCTAATGCAACCCCTAGTGCTTCGTCATCTTATCATGCATTCAGTTATTAATAACACTCAATCAGTCCTAGCCGTAACATCGGTGCGTCGCGCATTGGAAATTCAATGCCCGCGCCCAGTTTTGTTTTCGTCCCCGTGCGTGTGCGCATCCCGGAGTTGCGGTGTTGGGTCCACGAATGGTTGTGGTGGAGGTTGGGCTAGGCTCCTCGATCGCCTCTCGTTTGCAGAACCAGCCAGCTGCTCTTGCCAGGCGCATCGATGCGCATGCGCCTGTCGATGTTGATGGACGGGGCTCAGTGAAATGCGACTGACGGCCGCGCTAGACGCGCAGACTCGCCATGAAGCTCTCCACCGTAGCTCTCCTATTCGTCCTGGCCATTGTGCATGCAAAGCCGTGTCGAATGTCCAACGGACCAACTAAGGCGGCGCAGAATTGCCCGCGGCAGCAAATTTTCATCCTCCTCCAGCGCTGCACAACGTTCCTTTCTGGCAATCTCGCGCCCTTGGCTTGCGCACCCACGATCGCGATCCGCGATAAGCATCGCTCATGCGCATTTGTGTCGTGAATTCCACGGCGCCGCCGTGTCTGCGCGGCCCGCGCTAAAGCAGCGACCATCCGCCGTGCCGCAGGCCGCAGCCTCGAACACTCACGACTACTCCGCCGGGAGAAGGTCACTCTTTTCAGGTGAGAGCGAGGATTGGTCATGACATATCCTGAATCCCGAAAACTGACATCCTGAGACACTGCAGCTGAGCAGCTGCACGGCAATATTGCCTTGTTCCGACGCTATCACCCAGCTTGTTGCGCAGCGTCGCGAGGCTACACAATCGCCATCGATCGATGGCCTCCCTCGACCTGTCCGCTTTCATGGCGGCCTGACATTGAGGGGCTGTGCTGCTCCTTGTGCAGTCAAATGCCACCCGCACGCAAATTACGAGCAGTGTCCAAAGGGCTACGAATGCAAGAGGGTGGCGTGCCCCGAAGGTAATGAGAGTGCATCCTTTTCTGCGGGGTTTATGTGGATGCAGGAAGCTTGTGCGTGGGAAATCGAGAGATGGAAAACCCAGTGGACATCCCGAGCTAGAGGGAAACGGAGCCTTTTTCCCGGGTTGTTTGTACCTCCAGCACGAGAAATGAACAGCCACGAAACAGTGCCAAATTATGGAACTTGGACTTCCCACAGCTGAAAACAGAAACCTCCAAAAGCGAATACAAAAATTGATTCCCTTGTAGGGGGTCTCATATTCTTGAGGCACGAGCCTTAGGAATTTGGCGCGGTTTGGTTTACAACCATGTTTGCATGTCATTTTCGAATTTATGCAGATACAGAGACTCTCCACCCAGGCTTCTAGTGAGGCCGGACATGACTGCGCCATCGAACGCGCCTGCGCGGCAATCAGGAGGAATGGTGATTTCGGTCGAGTTGCCACTGTCCATTTTATGGCCTGTTTATGCGCAGGCATTAATGCATATACAGAGGCGTTATGAATACCACGAATCCGCTGGTTGCGGCAATATTCCCGCACTTCACAGTTGATAGCGAGTGGTAGATGGGCCAGATGGGCCCAGAAGGGAGGCCGATGGCCTCATGCGTTGCTGCGATTGCGCGCTTTTCCATTTGGTCTTACAAATTTACTTTAAAAGAAATTCATTCAATAGTTATATGCTTATGGAATACTTGATCTATGCAGATTGCAAATTCGAGAGAAGCAGCATCTTGTATGACAACCATGGAAAATGCGCAGGATACAAGACCTCCATAGTGTGCCGCGCAGTCAATGGTAAGTCATTGCAATCCCGGTGCAATCCCTCCATGAATTCTTGTGTTTGGGTACAGCCACTGAAGTGCAGTGCAGTGTAGTACCCTGAATTGTGTCTGGAATCCAAACCCTGGATGTATCATTCAGACAAGATTGTTAGCTTCACAGTCGGCCGTTCTTTAATCCAATATGTTACAAAGAGGTGCGCAAGGTTGCCTTAAACTGCACTATATTTCTCTCATGAAATTTCCATGCGACACCAATCATGGCATATTTTATTGTGATGACTGTGTTTTGATGGTGAATTTTGGGTGATTATGTGGTGAAAAAACTATTACGCCAGTTTTAACTGCAAAATGAGAGAGTAGGTTGCATCTTCATGACCGTCGGCTGCAAGGAAGGCAAATGCATGAAGAAGAGTGCATACGGGAAAGGCCGCTGAAGTGGAAGCGCAGTACCAAATGGTGGCGCCACGTAATCTTGTCGCTGGTGTGTATGGGATGTACAGTATGCCATTGCCAAGTCTGTTGCCCATTCGCAGGCATGCATAAAAGCAGATTATTATCGCTTTTTATTGCATTCTCATTGTGGATTGAGGATGGGATAGTTGTGACTGCGGAGACTTGTCAGTTGATAGTGATATTGGAGCTAACTAGCTCAAGTTGCATTTGGATGCCAACGATGGGAGGGCGTGCTGTCAGGTTTGTGTACTTGTTGCCCCAAGTGCATGGCCGTGTGTGTGGTTCAACCGGTGTAAAGCTTTATACCCAACTTTGACGCTGATTTCGAAATGCATTTTATTGAGCCCGAGATTGGGCCATCTTCACCCCTTCCAGCACGCTAATCGGCCCCAATGCACGATCAACTTTCCCGGCGCTGCTCTCACGGTCATGCGCACGGACAGCAACCTTGCGATATCAGAGCGCTCGTTTGCCGGCGCCTCGCGCACTTCGCAGGCCCTCCCCGAGGAGCCGCCGCCGCCTTTCCGCACGGCCGCGCGAGCCTCCCGGGTGTGTTGTCCGCCGGCGAGGGCCACGAGGGGCCAAGTGGGGTCGGCATTTGCTGGCCGCAATGCTGGCAGGCGATCCCGGAAAGACACTGGGGCGGCCCAGCGGAACGCCGTCACGCCTCGCGGTTTCTCGCGATCCTCCATCCGGCCGCCGCGCAAACTCCATTCTCCTCGGCCGTACGACGCCCTCGTGGGAACACGCGCACCTGGGCCCGCATACACGACCCGCCGACAGCCAATTGCCAGACGCACGCCTCGCGCAATGTACTGAATGGACCCACGCGATGTACTGGAAAGCGCACATCTGCCACTACGGACACCCTTGCATAATATGCTCTGTGCGTGCATTCCAGCGCTCAGACGCACAGGTCGCTGCGCGTTTTGCTGTACTTGGTAGTACAAGGCGCCTGGCTTGGGCCCCGGGGATTCTGGCCTTGTGGAACCGGGATGCCCGAAACTAACGGGCCGAGCAGGGTTGGGGCCCGCGTGGCTTTCTGGAGGGGGACGGCCCCCCGGTTGGCGCCTGGCTGGCAGGGCCCTCGGCCTCGTTGGCGCACGCGGCTCGGAAGTTGAAGGGGCGCGGCCGTGGCGGCAGCGGGGGCAGGAGAACGGAAGATTGCCCTGGGAGGTGTCCGGGCGGAGGCGGGGAAAGCGGTGGGCCCTTTAACGGGGGGGGAGGGCCTGCCTGGAAAGCTTGTTATTTGGATAGCCCTGGGGGGTTGCCTTTCGGCTGGGCTTGGCCTGTTGTGGGATTCCTTTACGGGGTTGGCGCTCCTAGATTCGCCGGCCGTCCATTGTTCGACGCCCAAGCGAGGGAGGGGAGGGGTGTGGGCGTGGTTGAGGGTTGTCATGGAGGTCATTTTCCGCGTTCGTGGTGAGACGCGGGGGGGACGCCGTCGACGCACTTCTGGCCGAGGCTGCGCGGGGGGCGGGGAGCCCGCGATGGGCGCGGTGCGAATGCCACCTGTGATCGGCTGCTGGCGCCAGGGGAGCAGCCGAACGAGGATCTGAACCCGCACGGGGGATGTCTCTTCCGACGTCTGCGCCGCACAGACGTGGGACGGACGGGCCGAAGCCCGGACGACGTGTGGCGCGCCTGCGGTCTTTTCGTAGCGCGCCGTGCGTGGACCGATTGGCCGTCGCGCCGCGCATTGCCCGCTACCCGCGAGGCAAGGATGACTGTCCGTCTCGCGCAGACCAGCGGCCGGGCGTAGCCCCCTGCACGAATCGCGGCCGCTCGGCAGGCTGAACGCCACGGTCGCTTCTTCCGGGCTATCCATTGGATCCTGTGCGTTGCGCAGCGCCTGCGTTCCCCAATCCCCGAAGTCCGAAGGGCAACGTCGGGTGGGGGGATGTCATCCACAGCGACAAAGGCGATTCCGCTGCTGGACTGCGATCGGTAGGGGAATGTAGGGGCGATCCGATCCGATTTCGCGCGACTTTGGCCGTGGGCTTCCTGGCCTCGGACCGCTGACGCGCCCGTCGTTCCGAGGGTCGACGACGGTTGGAGGCTGCGGACGGGTCACTCAATCTAAGACGCACTCCTGCCAGCCCCTGCCCCGCAGGATTCAGTTCAGACGTCAGCGGAGGTTGTCCTTTCGGGCGAGACGTTCCTCAAAGAGGGACATCCGCCAGCACATCCTCACTGCCAAACCTGAAATCCGAATTGCGGAATGGACTTTTAGCGGTGGCCCGTGGCGATCAGGACAGCGCCTCTGCTTTAAGTCCAGGACGACCGGGGCAGGCAACCCTCGCCTGCTCCCTCTCCGAACACAAACACGCGGTTCGTCATAGTCACCACATTCGAGCTCACCCGCGCGTCTGTGACCGCAGCGTGGTCAACCGCAGAGACTCGGCGTTGACATTTTCTCGGACTTCTTCGACATTTTCTCCTGGTGGGCTACCTGTGCCGCCGACAAGCCGATCCATGGATCGCCGATCGCCACGATCGTCGCTGGCGGGCTCCCCGAGGTCGACGACGAGCACCCGGACGTCGCGGTCGACGGCGTCGAGGCCGGGTTGGGGTACCAACCACGGCAGGAGGGACTCCAGCAGGGAGGGCGCGCGGCCCGACAGCTCGTGCTCCAACCGGTCATTCCGCCACTTGAAGAGCTTCGACCGCCGTGTGAAGACCGCGTACCACGCAGAGTGAGGATTTGGGGGGAGGACTGCGTTGTTTGTGTCGTGGGCCGGAAGTATTCCAACTTTGCTTGCCAAGAAGCATAAGATAGGAAATGGTGCCCGTGGGCCTGTCAATAGTGTTGACATATCCTGCAGAATCCTAACACCGTTCGTCAAAAGTACATATCAGGTCCACAAATCCAAAGCAGCACTGATTTAGGAAGGTGAAATCTCTCATCAAGGGGATAGGCGACATGTTTGTATTTAATGATGTTCCACAAACCCAAACAAGCACATGTCGACCCATATTAGACCTTACCAGCTTTGAAATGGGCACACTTGGAGCTGCATTACCTTTTTCTTGTCGATTGTTCTTTGCTTCTCTTGCTGACATGCATTGGATTGCCAATACAATGTCTCAGTGCTATTGATGACTCGCTTTTTGGTGGCCTGTCCTAAATTGGTTTCCATGCATGCCTTGTGCGTCAAGATGTATTTTAAACCCCCAAGGAACAGATCATACGATAGAGCACCCCTGCTGTGCAAGACTAAGTTCAAGCTTTTTCTGCATGTGTCACTGCGATGTGTGGGGTGCGGTGGGGTGGGTTGAGAGAGCCACATCCCTGCATCCAGCACACTGTGTGTTGTGGTTTAGATACTTGTGTAGCGTGCAACTCAGGCCGAACTGATCATGCCTGAACCCCCCTCCCAGGCAGTTCCTCTTTTACCGATTGAATGAATCAAAGAGTCTGTCACAGCAGTGTGTAGAAAAACACACTGGTCCTTATGTTTCTCTCTCCTGAGTTTAGATCATCGGACAGGCTCATTTCTTCTAGCGGTCAATAAGAACCTCACGAAAAAAGCTTGGAAAGAGAAACCTCCTGGGTTGCATAATGCAAGCATCTTACAATTGTTGTTGGGTGCACTAGTCTTTGCCCTTGCCCTGGAATGTAATTGCAGCCTGCACCCACATATGTGGATATGTGGATATGCAGGGGCCTCCAAGAAATCTGAGCTACATTTCATTGATGCTGAAGGCTGGTCTGATAATGTGTGTCCCTTGACCTGCACAGGTTAGGGCAACCGAAATTTCTACAGTCGACATATTCATCCACTCATGAGCAATGATTTATTCATTGATATGACAATGCTAACCATCTGTTGGACCATCTGTTGTCCGTTGTGTCTGTCTAACGTCTGTTGTTCGCACCTGTCCACCAGTTGCTGTGCGCCATGCAAAGGTGGAACTGCAGGAATTCAACCTTTGCATGTACAGCTATGAAAAGGAGCTGAACCAGCAAAGTCCCAATTGACCATATCACTCTGTTGCCTACATGCATTGTAAGCATCTCACTGTCCACTGAACACCATCACTCAATGTGTGCCCATGGCTGTGGCTATAGGCGTCCCAGAGCGAGTGTTCCCAGGTTCATGCAGCACACTACTGCATCCCTCCTGAAACGAGATTCATTCAAAGACAAGCCAGATGCAGATGCAGGGGAGGGCGATATCAGCAAGTGGCCAAAGTACACACTTCGGAGGAGGCCCCTTCGTGGCTTTGTGCGGATTAGAGATGGAAAGAAACTCGTGCGGAGGAGCTTGGAGGCGCAGCGGCGCAGGATTCGAGCAAGGAAGGTCAGGAAGGGCATCAAGGTCGCACCACGTGCTGTCGCTTCCTGCACTTTGCTGCCTCATAGACGAAGGTGTAGCAGCACAAGGGTTCCAAACTTGCCTGCTTCGCCATACAGGGTGCGTGCTCGTCGGCTGTCCAAATCACCAGTGGCAAGCCATGACGCCCACGCTGTGCGACAAGTTATGACAAGCAGATCAGACAAGGGCGCTCTGAAGAACCATCGATCTCGTCCCCACAGTGCCCTGGGTGCTCCTGTGAGGGAAAGGCAGCAAGGCGAGGTAGTGGGAGCCACGCGTTTGCTCTCAGCACACTCGCCATCTAAGCGCCTGTCGGCCGCCTCCGGTGTGGGTGTCCAAAACTTAAGGAGGTGCCCAAGCCCTATGGTTCTTTCCCGCCCACAAGACAAGTCTAGGTGGCCCATTGACGACAAGACACTCCTGAATGTGCAGCGCTCCCTGGTGCCTAGCACACCTGAACCTGAGTTGCCAATGGCAGTGCCAAGAAGCGCTCAAGAGAGTCCTGATGTGGACGGCATGGATCCCCAGGGTTGGCTTGTACTTGGTGCCCATAAGAATCTAGTACCACCAGGAACTATGTGCACAAACAACCCCAACGAGACATCTGAGGCAGTGAAAACGACCAATATTGATTTGAACGAGGCAGTTGTGGGCACTGAACAGGAGAATAATCATGCTGTGGCCATTGCTGCAAATATCATCCAGATGGATGTAGAATCACCTCATCCTAAGCAGCTGGGTTCACAAGATCATGACATTGATCTTGCTGATGCTGGTTGCCCCAAAGCAGCCTTCGATCAAAGGCCCTCAAGAGGAGTGAATGCGCCATGCCAGGCCAAGGGACACCCAGCTGTCGATTGGGAGGATGGCAGGTGCATCTCAAAAAGTACAACAAAATGTGTGCAGGAAGCAGCAGAGGCTGTCATACTGCAGGGAGTTGAGTACAATGCAGCAGGGAAAGGTCGTGATGTGGGGGTGCAAGGCACTGGAGAACATGGACATGGGGAGGTGGAGGCAAGCAGTGAAGGAGAAGGCATGGAAAGTAGCAAAATGGCCACAATGGAACCTGGTAGAAGCAGGAATCAGGAGCTGGAGGATACAGACTCTATTCCACCAGTGCCTGTCAGTGTTGGTCTCTGCGAGAGAACCCCTCCTGATGCCAAAGGAGCAGGGCTCGATGTCAGGAGCAGTCGCCCTCGCACGATGAGGCTGCAGCTCAAGCACCGAGCAAAGCCTGAAACCCCAGTCCCGGAACTAGCCAACGTGGGCAAGGACCCAGGGGAAGGCCCACCCAAAGATGCGATTGCCCAGATTGTCCCCAGGGGGGTGAGGCCTGGGGAAAGGTGCCTGAAGGTACGTGAGGCCTCTGGCTGCAAGCACTGGGCCATCACGGCTGGCATCCTGGCTGTGGTGGCCTTTATTTTTGGACAGGCCGATGAAGATGAAGATGTTATGGAGGAGGAAGTGCACATTGGAAGGGGATGGATCGACGACGGCGGCTGCACACGGTTGCAAGATTGGATGTGGCACTCAGCGTGATGGATCAGGAGTGGAGGAGATCGTGCACTGTACAAGACTGGATCCGATGTGCAGGGAACGGGTCAATGGTGAGCAGTCTGTTTACCCTTCAGACATGCCTGGACTCCAGAAGGGTCTCCTTGAAACAGGAAGTCCTTGGATGTGTACAGCCCAGGCTTGGGCCGTTTCCATGACTTTGCAATTGCAGGATGATAGCTTTGGTGGTCGTTAGCAGACTGTTGTGATCTACATTTTAGCCCAAGAGACGAGGAAGGTCAGATAGGTGGACTTCTCTTGGCAGGGTTACACAAAATAGGAGAAGACAGTTGGGTTGGATGGGCTGACCTCAAAGACACACTCACACGATTCAACAAGAACACGCATGCTTTGCATCCATGCCCCACACGCCTAGGCACTGGTGGTGTCATGGTTGCCTTCACGTATCAAGGGGTTGGGATGTTTGCCAAGTGTCAAGAATCCAGGATGTCCCTGACACTGGAGGTGCTCTATTTGGGCACTGGGGTAGTCACCGCAAGGCAGAAGGCTGCAGAGAGGATGCCCACAGAAGCTTGTTATCTGGACAGACACAGCAGAACAGCAATGACGGATGGGGAAAGCAGGTGAGCACAAGTAGCAAGGGCTCGAACCAATCTGATTTTACGCCTTGACTGCAGCTGGGTTCTGACGGGGAGGCAGGTGGGCAGAGGGTAGCCTCACACATCTGAATGTCTCCAACGCAGGGGACCTCCAGCAGAGAGGATAAGGCTGTGTGTTGGTGCTGAGCGCCAAGCCATGCAGCTTGGGAGGTCCATGCTGCTCTTCGGTGCATCATTAGCAACAGGCACCGGCTCACCCTTGGGGGATAGGAGAGGGAGTGGGCAGTCGCCCTTCAGGAAGCCAATACTGCCAGCAATGGAAACTGACAATATCAAAGCAGAGACCAGAGCCATTGTGCACACAAAATAAAGGCAGTTCTTGTTTGGCCATCTCTGTACTTTAGGATGGTGAGGTGGACTTGAACTTTGAATGGGACTGCACTGGTATCTGGCACCGTTGCACAACACCTAGTCGGTATCACCGACCTGGCCTGTTGAGGAATGGTGCCAGTCAGGTGATTGAAGCTGCCACCCAAAGAGCTCTCACCACATTGCCATCAAATGCTAGGATACCTGTTTGGTCTCGGGGCAGCCTAGTATGCCACGAGCTTTCCATCCGATGTCTTGATTTCGCAACCCCAACTAGAGGACCTACAGATAGGGACCCACAAGAACAAGGTTCAAATGCTGGAAACGCATGGGTTTGAATGTTGTTCAGGAAGTTTCCAATGGCAGCAATTGCTGCATGCTGTCACATACCGCAATCATTTCTATTGGCATTGCACAACATTATGCTACGCGCTACGCTAGAAACAGTGTCTGGTGTTTTCGCGACGCTCATTTCCTTTTCAGGGAACTGTACAAAAGGGCAAGACGACGCTCGTCCTAAGAATGTAGAAGAGAAAAGGCACGAGCCTGGCCCGCATAGATGACGTCATAGAACTTCGGAAAGGGGATCTGACGCAGCCAGCACCACTGAGCATGTACCGTTTGCTGTCGCCATCATCTATTGTGCCCTCACAAGATACGATGAGATGAGATTCAACCGATTCCAGCTCACTCAGCATAGTAGTTTTCGAGGTCACATGCTGATTCCAAGAAGCGTTTTGATCTCGGCATTCGCGGATTGCGAGGCTCGCAATCGACGAATGCTCAGCGCACTGCACTGCCCAATGCGGCATGATGTGTGCAGAATATATCCCCTATAACACAGTATATCACTGTACGTTTTTCTATTGTGCGAGATTGAAGAATTTCCACTCCAGCGCCCAATTGCTGAAGAGATCGCTGCACGCAATCTTGTGTGTTTATGAATAGGTAAACTTGTAGTGTCGGCGATCTCAAACCCTGATTCATATTGAAGCCTGCAAGCATATACTGGCTTCTGCGCGCATCACAGCTTGACTTGCGGCTCTGACCCTCGAGTCCTTGGAACAGGTTTGAACACACTTATCTTGGCAGGGAAAGCAGTGTTCTTTAATTGTGATTTGGCTTCAGCTGCGGGCGTGGCAGTGAACACGAGCCGGGCCTCCCACAGGGCCGCAGGGAAAATGCTCTGGGACACGGGCGCATGGAGAACTGGGCGTCAGATTCTTCGGGACATCAATAGATATCACGCCGTAGACAAAAGAATGGGCGAGCGTAGGCTCTTCGTGGTTGCGTTAGCTGCATTTCCAGCGTGCGAAGCTGTTTCCCAAAGTTATCATGTGGAAGTGAATCACTAGTGAGGTGATGGACACCAGTACAGTTGTGGGTGTAATGGTAGTGCTAGTACAAGAACCGATTGCCGACCCACTTGAAATGCGCCCTTCGCTTGGCACAGAACTTAAAGCTACACTGATGGTTGCTCAACCCTGAGTAGGCTCCCGTTTCCTCGTACTCAACTCTCTCTCCATCCCACAACTAACCGAACTCACTCTATTAGGGTTGGCCGGGTGGGTGCGAAACAAGATAAGGGGGCCGCTAAGGGGCACGCCCCAAATAGCCATTCCCTCTTGCCGCCAAACGCCCCTCCAAGTCCAAGGGCCAGCTTGACCGGTCCCCTTTCCACGCCCAGGTTACAAGGATCACCGGGTTGCCCTAGAAAGGCAGCCCGACCCGGAATGGCCGGCACGCGCCCGCCCAAAGTCGTCCTCGGCAGAAACTCCTTAACTAGATAGTTAATTACATGTCCGTGACCACTGGGTGTGACCCCGCGGAGTTTCTGGCGCCCAAGCGGCCATTAACCACAATTGGAGATTGATTTAAGCCGTTGCGAATTGCCGTGATTCCGCCCTCTCTAGTATTCCATTTCAATTGCAACGCCATCTTCCATTGAACAAACAAGGGAGCTATAACCTGGCTCCTGATGTCAGCTAGCCTGCGTGCCCGCTCCCTCCCTACTCCAAGGCCCCTCCTCTGTCAAGCTGATCAGTCCGTGCTGTGAGTTTCATCAGGGCGCAGCGGCCACGTATGGCCACATACATGGAAATTTTCCATGTATTCAAACACTTCTTGGTAATATGATTTGGTGGTATTCCTGGACTCTGCTACACATCACATTTCAATGAACGGACCATGGACACTGCCTTGCTCGGGCAAAATATCGTTGGTTTTTATAAGCCCTTCCACATCGGAAAACTTTACCGTTGTGCTTTTTGCTCATTTTGTTTTTCAGGGTGTTGCATCATGTTTTTACAATGCTCCGCAAAGTTTTATTGAAAGAGCGTTATTTGTTAAATTGTTTTCTCCTCCGAAAAGGGCCAAGCGTTACGTTGCTATGTGGAAGGGCTTAAAACCCAATGGTAGGAAGCTGATGGCCAAATCCTAGCTTTGTCATGTAAAATTTAATGATGATGATGGTGGCAATGACGGTGACAGGCGACTGGAAACAGCTGACGTGACATCGCTACGACCGAGCACTACGCCCACGCCCCCACCTGCTTCCCCGTCGCCCCGGGGCCCCCGCCACGTCGGCTCCCCCTCGCACCCGGTTCTTAGCCCCACGAACGCCGAAGGAAAGAGCCCCGACCAGCGTCGCCCCGCAAACATTCCCCCCCTTTCCCCCGACGCCCTCGGCGCGTCCCGCTCGACGCGGAACTCCTGAACGCAATAGCTCACCCCCAGGCCCGCCGCCGCTGAAACAAGGTGCGGGCGCAGCTGCGCGCTTCCAGTTTCTGGGATCCCGTGCACGGTCGATCTCCTTGCCCTGGCCAGCTGCGATGCCGGTGGCCAGCAATTGCGCCCCGCTTGCGCCACGGCCGCCTGTCTCGCCATCCTCCCATCCGCAGCGGTGCCCCCCTCCGATCCCCCAGCGGCTCAGCCGCCTCGAGCTGATCGCGTCGATCGTTCGTCTGAGGAGATTTCGGCGCCCGCTTCCGCCACGCGTCCCTCTGGCGAAGCCGCAGGGCCCGGGGCGGGCGACTTGAATTTGCGCGGCGCACGGTGCGCATTGGGGTCGCTCTGATGCGGGAATTGGTGGGTCAGTGGAGGGACCCATTTGCGGGCCCGCAGCAGAGTTTGCGCCGGGGCGTCGGCGTCAGGGCGCCCGTTGGGCGGTAGATTTGGGAGGTTCGCGGCAGCCCGCCGACGGGGGACGGGGCTGCTGGCGCCCCTGCTGGATTGTTCCGGACGTCGCAAGGCAACTTAGGCACGTTCCCAAAGTGGCAATCGCCGGAACAACGGATTTCTCCCCGAGCAACGAGTGCGTGGTCGCGTGCTGTTTCCCTGATTCTCTGCAAGTTGGGAGCAACGCCGCGTGTGCGCGGGGGCGCCGTGCCGCGGCAGAGTGGCGGCTGTGGCGCCTTTTTGCCGCATTTTGTTGGTGTCTGGATCAGCCGGCTCCGCATCTGCCGTCATCTTGCAACGGCCATGCGGCTTCCCTCTGAGTGGGAACACACTCAGACCTGTGGCCAGACATGGCCGCAGTGGGGCCGGTTGCTTGCACCCCCGTCAAAGTTTCCGCAGCCTTTCTGTGTTCTGTCCGTCTTACCACCTCATCACTGTTTGACCACGGTGTTGCACTTGTTCACACAATTCCACGCACCACAGGGCACAGGGTTGTCGTTGTTCCAAGTTGGGGCGTTGCAAAGCCAGAAAATGCCATGCCCGTGTGCACCTTGCGATTAAAGTGTTTGGTGTTGTTTTGGAAACAGCAGAGGCCCTGCAAGAGGACGATCATTCCGTTGGGCATCGATCATACCCACAGCCCAAATGGCAACATCCAAACTTCGACACAGGTCTGAGAAGGCTGTTGCCAAGAAGGCCGGCTGCATACCTGGCGACGAGGGCTGCACGTGCCCTAAGTGCAGGTTTGGGGCCCCTATGGATTCAAGCGAGCAAGAAAAGCGGCTCAACGACATAGCCACGTGGCTCTGCATTGGGCCGGATAGCGAATCGGAGCCGACGAAGCAGGAGCTCAAGAAGTGGAACAAGACTGCGGTGCAGCTTTGCAAGTTGGCACAAGCTGGGGAAATTGACAAGCTGGAGGAGCTGCTTGGGGAGCAGGATTGCGATGATGAAATTATGACCCAGATATCCTCGGAGTTGGTGATCGTTGCGAGCCAGTTTGGGAGGCTGGAGACTCTCAAGGTCCTGAAAGACTCGTGGCTGGCGGACCTGAACTACCAGAGCAACCGCGGCAGGACTGAGCGAGGGAGGAGCGCTCTTATGTATGCAGCCAGCAAAGGGCATGTGCCAATCGTGCGTTACCTTTTAGAAGACGAGGATGTGAATATAGACTGTGCTGATGAGGGCCGAATGACGGCGCTCATGGTCGCTGCATTTTCCAACAGGAATGCCGTGGCCCAAGTACTGCTTGAAGAGGGAGCAGATGTGCATTTGGCAGATAACAGGGGCCGGACTGCCCTATCATACGCCGCCATGTATGGCAATGTGGAAACAATAAATCTCTTGTGTGAGCATGGAAGCTCCCTATACCACCAAGACCATGATGGGAAGAAACCGCTGGAACTTGCGCAGTGCCACAATAGGTGTGGCCACGTGGTCGAGGCAATTAAGAAATGTAGCAAGAAGGAGGAGCTGCGCAGGGAGCGGGAGCGACGCAAGAACAAGTCAGAGGCCAGCCAGGGCAGAAGCACTGGTGCAGGGCCTCAGGATCTGGAGCAAGCAGACCAGAACATGGCACGTCTGCTAAGAGAGCTGGAAGAAGAAGAAATGTCAAAGAAAAAGAAGCAAGATTCGAAAAAGGCACAAAAGAAAAGGAGGAGCGGATTTGGATTAAACACAGGGTTGGGTGGCAGATGTGTGGACGACGGGGACGTTGGCTGGTCCACGTCTTCGGCGTTAAGTAATGCATCTAATAGTCCGGCTCGATCCATGGGGGTGGACAGTTATTCGCCAGACAGGGGAGGGTTGGCAGACTCCAACAGGACACGAGAAAAGGGGCAGAAACCTTCCAGGAGCCCAGGCAGGGCAGAACCAAAAGCGGCTTCCTTGTCCATGGCGACGAGCCTGAGGTTCTTGAACCCACACACGCAGGTCACCGACACAAAGACGCTGAGAGAATACTGGAACGTCATCTTAGAGGATGCCAACAAATGTGTGGAGGAGGAACAGCAGGCACAGTACACAGACCTGCTGTCGGAGCTGATGCAGCGCTGCAGGGAAGCAGGCATCAGCGTCAAGCAGGGCAAAAAGGTGCTGGGGCGGCTGGAGAAGGTGGGTGGGGCCCGAGCGGAGCTGTTCGCTGCCGTCAGCGACTCGCCCGTGGATCTGCACCGCGTGGACACAGCCCTGAGGGAAGCCAAGCAGGTGAAGAATCTGATCGACCCCAAGCTGTGGGCAAGGGCGGAGGCGCTCATGCATGAGAGCGGCGCACAGTGTGTGCAGAACAGGGACGCTGTTATCTCGTCACTGGTGCACCTCAGCGTGACATCCACAGAGGGGGCGGTGGGTCGTTCCGATGTGTCTCCTCAGACCAGTGCCCCATCCCCTCCAGAGGTCTCCAGCGGCATGAACAAGGCGCCCACGGGGCCGCAGACATCTGATGGCTTAGACTCACTGAGGAAGGACATCGAGTGCGTGGTGTGCCTGTTCGCTAGGAGGAGCGCCTGCAGTGTGCCCTGCGGCCATATCTGCATGTGTTATGCCTGCGCCATGGAGGTACAGAGGAAGAGGGGAGTGTGCCCGTTGTGTCGGGGGAACATCGAGTTTGTCATGCAGATCATGTGAAGGCGGTTGGGAGGCCGGGGCAACACGATCCCGTGGTGTAGTGGGGGTGGCTTCACTGTGGGTTTGATCACCAGCATCTGTGTGGCACCACGTGCTGCTGAGAGTTCTCCTGCTGTGGGTCAGGAGCTCTCAGAGTTTCCATGTAATTTTGTTCCCATTGAGGCAGACGGATGAAGGGCTGTCCGATCGTGCTGTGGTCACCACCTATCCGAGCAAGCATGCGTAAAACCCTTTCCATGTCAAAAGGGGGCACATGTCTCCAAATGCCCCAGGAAAAGCACGCAGTGATTAGCGGAGCAAACAGCAACGCGGAGTGTCAGGAGATGGCGGGCATCTGCGAGCACAGGACCGCAAACTGGCAACTTGACAGGTGGTGCAGACCCTCGGCCACTGCCCACATTGATGCCAGAACAAAAACATCCACTCAACTTCAGGCAACTGCACAGTGGCCCTTATCGCTCGTGTCATGTCAATGACGGGAGTCTGGCACACCCGCGCCCACCCAGTCGTTCGGCCAGGGGCCACAATTGGCGTGGTACACCTCTCACCACCAGCGCGTCCAAACAATGAACCCACCAAAGAAAAAGCAGGCCTGGAGTATGGGAAACGGAAGGGCCCCTTCCTGTCCTCTCCCCTCGCCCCTAACACTCGTCCAAACAACTGCACCACTGCCGCAGAGCTCTCAAAACACCAAGATAGAGCACCGATGCCCAGTGGGTCGTTCCTACAGAGTAGAGACGTCAAACTGAGCTTCTACATAAGAGCATGGAACCAACCCTTCGTTCGAGCCCTTCCTGGCCAGGTACCACCCCTCCTTCTCCGCCAGCACTTCTATCTGGTCGCCATTCAGCACCGTCAGCTCTCCCTCCATCTCCGCAACAAAGTCGAACATAACTGACGCCATGTGAGTGCCTGCAGGGGTGTAGGGTTCCGGTTCTGCCGCCGGTGCTGGTGCACCGCTCTCCTGGTACCCCGAGTCCTCGCCCGGATAGGCCAGTCCTGAACAGAGGCACTCACCTCGATCAGCATTCGGAATGGTGTTTAGGAGAGTGGTGCAAACAACAAAACGGGTGGGTGGTCTGGCTTGCCAACGCCTGCAATGCATGGGTGTTGGCACAAGGGCAGCGCCCTGTCTGTTGGAGAACGGCAACTGCAGAAAGAGCACTAAAGGAAGAAGTTCTGGAGAACGAATGCATGCTTTCCATTCCAGGAATGAAAAGACTTGGCCTGTTCGTGCTGTTGACGACCCGGAGCAGGAAGGCTCGCCAGGTCTCTGGAAACAGAGGATTGTGGGTAAGGGAACACACTCTCCAACAGAGCCCGACAGGGGCGAGCGTGTTACCCTTGCCTGGGGGCGACCCCACTTTTATGCAAACTTGCTCCTCAGCAAAGTACTGCGCAGACACCAACCACAAAACAGGCGCCACCACAACCAGCAGCGAACCTCCTGCTTCCAACCGCGTTCAAGATTCCAGGGCAGCAGAAACGCAACACATGAGCACCATCGCATTGTTCCAGGCGGCCGCGCCAAACAGGCACCTTAGGCCACCGCCCCCGCAGCCAAGGCGCCCACGAGCGCGCCCACACGCGCACAGCCCCCCGTGGACGGCGGCCGACACGACCGGCACCGATCTGCCGGGACAAGAGCCTCCAAAACAAAACAACTCACCCTCCTCGAACGGGCTCCGCGGGCAGCCTCAAACAGAAACCAAAAAACGCCTGACCTTTCCTCAAACGGGGCACCGCGGCGGCACAAAATTACTGGCTGCACCAAATCGGTGACTTTCTGCATTAAATCGGTGACTGCTCGCACCAACTCCCTCCAAAACTTACCTAACCTAAAACCTAAAACTAAGCCTGCCCTAAACCTAACCCTTGCCCTAAAACTCACCCTAAAACTAAGAGCATCTTTATCGGTGGGTGCTATTGTCCCGGCGGAGCTATTCGGCTATCCGAATAGCACCGCATGTCAAAAAACCATCATTAACGGTTGGGGAGCAATAGCACCCCAATAGCACCCCCGGAGCTATTCGGCGCCGAGCGGCGCTATTTTGGCCCCAAATAGCACCGCTCGGGGCCGAATAGCACCCCAGAATAGCTCCGGTGCTATTCACGCAGAACATTGTTGTGCTGCCGTGATGCTATTCGGCGTAGGCATAGCACCCGCCATTGCGGATGCGCGCAGGGGAGCAATAGCACCGGTGCTATTCGGCAAATGCCGCCTTAGTAAGGTGGCACGGCAGCCAATGAGAACCGTTCCTGTATAGCTCCGCCGGTGCAATAGCACCGACCGATAAAGATGCTCTAAACCTAACTCTAAAACTGAGGTTAGGACATAGCGAGCACGTGATTTGGTGCAAGCAGTCACCGATTTGGTGCAGGCAGTAATATTATTTCCACCGGGGCACCGGGGCCAGCCTCCAAGAGAAACCGGAGAACGCCTCACCTTCCTCAAACCCGAACGACGACTCCATGGTCTCCCCCTGCACCACCACCGTGTCCCCTCCCCCGCCGGTCTCCCCCTGACCCGGATAGTCGCCCTCGTCCACGTCCGACACCGAGCTGCCCGCCTCCTCCTGCTGATCCGAACTCGACGCCCCCTCCTTCTCCTTGGCCCTGATCCCGAACGGATCCGTGTCGCTGCGGTCACTGCCCGCTTCCTCCTCGCCCTCCAAGGCCTCCGCATCCCCGTTCTCGATCTCATCCCCAGATTGCGTCCGCTCGGGCGCCCACGGCACGTTTGTCAGCGGGCGAGACTCCGGCACGTCGAGGTCGCTACTCTCAGACCGGCTGTCCGAATCCCCGCCCACCCGGAAGTTGGGTGGCAGCGGCAGGCCGCCGATCGGAGCCTGTGCGACGGGCTCGCTCTCCTCCTCGCTCTCGCTCGCCCTGTCCCAGCCGCCGCTCGAGCTGGACGGCTCCTCCTCGTGATCCTGGGTCGTGCCCGTCTGGCCCCGATTTCCGTCCCAATGCCCATCCGCCATACCCCATTGCCCATCCGTGCCGTTGTCTGTCGGGCCGTAAGCCTCCCGCTGCTCCTGCTGCCCATCGTCGGCGTGATTCCATTCAGCCTCCTCCGGGGGGGGCTGGTCGGCGGCCTGCTGCGGAAGGGCAAGCTCCACCTCCTCACCCATCAGCAGCTTCCTGCTGATGGGGCCCAGGGCGGAGTAGCCGTCCGCCGTCACCGTGCACCGCCACTTGACCTTCTCTTGCAGGGCCTCGTCTCTTCGCCTCAGGGACTCCTGGGCGTCCTCCGGCCACTCGGCCAAGTTGCCCCCCCAGCGTTTCAGGCATCCCTCCAGCACCATCTGGCCCGAGTACAGCTCGTCCAGCAGGCTCAGCAGCGGCTTGGCTTCGGCCTCCAGGCCCAGCGGATCGGCCCCACCGCCGCTGGAGACGGCCTCCTTCAATATGCGGTATGTCTGGATGCGGTAGGGCTCGCCGGACCTGAAGGCGATGGTGGCCAATGCCTTGCAGGCGGCCATGCGCACGTCCCAGGGGGCGCTGAACAGCGCGTGCTGGAGGTGGGACACCACGGTGAAGAGCAGGGGACTGCGCGTGCACTCCGATCCCAGCACTTCGGGGTGGCTCAGCCCTGCCAAGGGAAAGCAGCGTCAGGCAGGGGAGCCAGGCGACAGGGGACATGCCCAGGGCGGGTTCGCACCATGCATTCCAAGGCCAGTGCGGCAGGGCCCGATGCAGTGCCTGGAGCCTCAAAAGGCCTTGCTTGAAAAGTGGCAACCATTGTGCGGTCTGCTTCTTTGTGGTGTATGGGCGCCATGCAAGTCAATGGCAAGAACATTACAGTCAAGCTGGATGGCTGAAGTGGCTGCCATCGCCTGGGGGTGCAAGAACATTGCCCTCTGAACTGCTGAAATGTGTAGACATGCTGAAATTTCATGTATTGCACACAGAAAGGGCAGTACTTGCTTTGAAAAATGTTCAGAATAAAGGATGTTAGCTGCTGGTGGGTATACGCAAGCTTGTCATCTATCCAGCACTGCGCCCACTGGCGAGCTCTGTCAGTGGATGGCATGCAGCAACAGCTCAGTGCTAGAAGGCCACAATCCCACCAAACCCTGACAGCAGACACAGCCTTGATACGGCTGCATGGTCCCTGACAACAACGACCTCACAATTCTGACGTGCACTGATGGCCAGACACCAAATACTGCTGGTTGAAGTTGCATGAGAGCACTGTTGTTTCCTTGCAACAGTTGGTGCGACTCTGTTGCTGAACATGTCACTCCATGGAATCTGCGCTTACCGTTGCACACCAGCACCAGAAAAAAAAACACATGGCTGGACCCCCCTTCCAAGACTGCTGACTTTGTCAAAGCGCGGTGGTCATGAGAGTTCCACTACAAACGCGGCACAGTGGGTTTGTGCAGACTCACCCTCAGGGCTGACTGTGGGACCCTTGGCCTCCCATGCATACTCTGCAGCAACAAAGTTCGCAGCCTCCCCGACCCACCAGGTTGCGATCCTCTGCAACTGCTGCCACGCTGCAGCTTCCTCAGCTGCTTTGGCCATGGTCGCAAGATTTGAGCCTGCACACAAGTCACAGCAACTTGCAATTCCCATGGGCTGTGTGCGGCTTTGCAACAAGTGTGAGGCCCTTGTAGTTCAATGGACCCTCACGCTGGCTTGCTGCCAGTGCTCAACATTGTCTATGTAGGAACATCACACCAGATCAGCAAACACAGGCCGGGGCACACAACCTTGATATGTGCATGTACAAGGGCAGTGCAAAGGTGGGGTTTGGAGGACACAGCAACAAAAACACAATGTCCGTCATGCAGAAGCACCCAGGCAGGGATGAGGTGCTTGAAAACAGTGAGCCAGAGCTTTCTAGCTGCATCCCACACCAGTTCCAAATTAATCCATTTTGCGCTTTGGATCCATCACAAGCAAAAGCAGTGGAACCTAGCAAACATCAACATTTTTCCCAACATCATCAATGTCCTCTTTCTCAACATACTGCACAACTGCCCATTCTGAAACTGATGCACTATGCATCCACCCTCACGTCGATGGACAATCATGCAGGATTAGCAGCATACACGTCACCCAGGGCTCAAGTACCAGAATACCAGAATTATACTGATGACAATCCGAAATTTTCGTCTACAACTGGCACATATCCTGATTTGCAAATAGACTCTCCCTCCACCCCCCCACCCTCCCATCCCCCCCAAAGAAATACCACGCCCTTGGTGGAATTGATGGGATGAAGGCACCCAACCTCAGTTCCCTACCAGATGGTGCCCTGGTCCGAGCAGGAGAGCGCGCCTGCAGGAACTGCAGCGCAGCCTTCAGCACCAGCACCTTGTCCGCCTGCTCATATGCCAATGCCGACCAAAAGTCACAGAGCTCCTCTGGTCGAAGGCCACTTGGGCAGCCGGTAGCGACAGCACTGACACATTCTACACAGGCAATTCACAAGGCTCAGCAAAATGGTGTGAAACAGAAACTCATTCAGCTCCAAGGTTCTCCAGATGGTGCAGGCAACACAGTCCCATCACCCCACGCAAAGAAGCTGTACGTGATATGCATGCAAAATGCAGGGGAACATGACCCCTGCTTGTTCAATATAGGTGTGGTGCTGCGCTGCATCCTGAACAACTGACTAGACTTTGCCGTGCACTACACAGGCATGTGCCTTCACAAGTTTCATCTTCGCGCTACCTTGAACCAAATCTACAGTCCATGTGCCCACCAAACTTGTGCCAAGTGGTCCACACTACAGAATGTATGCCTTTATGCTTGGCCACTCACCTAGCACATAGTTGGCCATGGATGGCTCTGCGTACAAGCGCTGGAACAAGTGGTTCAGCAACATGCTGAGGAGGTCTTCTGTCCAGCCCTCAACAGACCCAACAATGCTGGACAGCAGCTGTGGTGTCAGTGGGCCTCCCTCTGGGCCTTGCAACCAAATCAGGGGCACCACTGCCAGGTGCTGCTCAGTGGCAGTGCGTGATCCTGTGGCAAGCTGCACCAAGTCCTCCCTTAGGCGGTACATCAAGTCGTTCCTTGGCTTCCTTTCCACGCGGCCTCGCTTGGCCTTGCCCTTCAACGAAAGGGCTAGGGCACGGGCCTTGGCAACCTCAGCTGAGCACACATCGAGCACATCGGTTAGAGCCAGGAAACTCAGCAGAATAAACTGCGCTGCGCACACCAACACTCTGCAGATGTGCAGTTTCCGCCCATGAACATCTGTCTGGTACAAAGGCTGCGCTTTTGTGTATTCTTGACACAAAAGCGATCAAAGGAATGGGAACACAAGGTAACACTGCAAATGCCTTCCAGTTTACACACCGTCGGGTGAGCATCCAAACCGCCCTATATTCTGTTTCTTTGCCTCCTCTTTGTGCTGTGATTCCAAGAATGGCAATTGGCCAGGGGTGAACAGATAGTCCTGGGCATGTGCGAGGTCTGGGACATGTGTCTGGACAAAGTTGAAACTTTAAACAACCATGCAGCAGAAAGTGATATTGCTTATCTCAAAGATAATGCACACCCATGGAACAGCAAACGATCACACCATCAGCTCCCATGCACATCAACACATATGCCAGAAGCAGGTCTTTCTTCCTGCCAAGACGAGCTTGCATATCGTGCCCTTGTGGATTAAGGTCAACGTTCTCACTTGCCGCTACTGCTGCAATTTGTGCCACATGCGCCTCAATAATCCACATGCAGGGATTCACTGGCAACCAGAGCTGAGTTTTGTAACAAGAGCAAGGCTGTCTCTTCTTGCAATCGTAGGACATGGACGGACAAGACCTAAAGACATGGTCAGGGTACAAAATGTGATGGCAAGTCCAATCTGCAATACAGGCCTGTTGGCTTCAACACAGCCTGGGGTATGTTGTCCTTGGCTGGGGCTGTCATATTTTGTTGATCACAACTGTACCCAGGTGAAGCTGGTGCAGCGGGGACCCTTGAGACACATGTGTACAACAACACACACTGCCTAACTTCCTTGCAAGAAATGCTTGCTGGATTCCAAGCTGCATTCAAAACAAGCTGAACGTCAGCTGCAAATGCAAAGGCACCAGTGTGTCCTGTACAAACAGTGTTTGCCCAGAAACAGCACATGCATGTTTAGATAATCCATACCTCTCACGGCACCAACAGTGCAGCCATCGCCCTCTTCAACAGTGTGCAAAGAGCCTCACAAAATTCTTGCAAAGGAAGGGGTGCCATTGCGTGACCTGTGTTTCTATTCACCAGAACAACCCTTCATACCTGCTGCCCTGCATGCTCCGCACACCGTAACTTTGGATTCCGACCCAAGGCATCGCCTCAGCCTCAGGACCACCTCAGAGATGAGGAGCCCATCATTAGCCTCAACGGGCAGGCCCTTCCAGGGGGGCCAGCCAGGAACCCTGTGGTTGACAAGCAGCGACCAGGCGGCCATTCGAATTGACTTGTCCCTTGAAGCTGCGCTGCTGTCCACGGTGAAGCGCTTTCCCCTGGGTACCAGGTGCAGGGGAGGAGCCAGCTCATGGGCTTGTGAACCAGGCTGAAACAAACATCAAGGCAGCGTGCACAATGGCACAAGCCAACATAAAGGAGAGTCCAATCGAGGAGTTTAAGTACAGCACCTCTTCAACTGCAAGGAAGTGACTGTTCAAATTTCTCATGACTTTGGCTGGCTTGGATGCATTCTTTGACAGTCGCTTTTTTTATACCCATACAAATTTGTCCGCATTCAAGGCTGTCACACTTGCGCAGAGCCCTCCTTGTGAGTTTTTGACTCGCTTTCAAACACATCCATTCAGCAGGAAAGGTGGACACCATTTGCCAGGAGTCATGGCATTTGTGAGATCAGTGGCTGAAATCGCATTATTGAAGCAGCCACAGCATTTTGATATGATTTCTGACCAATGCGCCAAATGATGCTCTACTGTACTCCCACCTGTTGTGCTTGTGAGCTGTGGCAGGAGATGGGTCCATTGCCTCAGGAGGATGAGCGCCTGCAAGTGCCTTCACTGCCTCCATGCCCACCAGCTCCAGTGGATCACGAGCTGCCATGGCCACCAGGGCGCGCAAGAACACACTGCCATTCGGCTCTGCACACAGAAACAAAGAACCATGAGCCAAGGCAGGCAACAACGTGGATCGTATTTGCAGCCGCGAGCAGATGAATGGGCTGGAGACCTTATGCATCGCTGCATAGCAGAGCTCTGTAATCTGACTAAAAACGGCACCATGGTCCAGTTGGCAGGGTCCACTTTCTTTTACTATAATGCATACAGCACCAAGTACTGTCCAGTGAAATAAAGCCAGCTGTAGATGGACTTCAATTGTGCCTCAATGGATGGATTCTTGCCCTAGAAATTTAAGGTCTGTTGTTAATGCTGCCCTGGTTGTTCTGTTTCATTGAGGGCCATCAAAGATTCTGGCGCATATCACATGTACATGTGTGAGATTGTTGCGGGACGGCACTGCTCTCATTCATCTCAGGACAAACAACTTCCTTTCTTTTCCACTCAGCCATCCACATAATGTGCGGACAGGGCATTTGAGACGATCTTGCACTTGCGGCGGACCACCAGCATGAAGCACGCAAACAGTGTCCAGTGGACACTGTCCACCACTGCCATGTAGGCAGAAGGACCTTAGTATCATCTCTGGAGCAACTGCAGTTAAAAAATGAGTTCAGCTGAACAAATTCAATGGGCGAAGAAGCTGTGTTTTCGGGTGTTTCAGCAGATGAAGTTGATGAGGATTCCGATGCGGGCATATTGAGCCTGGGCACAAGTCAGACATCTTCACCATTCAGGAAGGAGCAGCGACAACATCTATGATCGCTGGGGAGTTATGCACCACACAAAGGGCCACTGAGTCAACAGAATCCACAGCCTGCGTACACCACACACCTCGATTGCTGCCCTCCGAGTGCACGACAGCTCCACAGCCCCTTGCAAGGTACATTCTGGAAAACGGGTCACTTAATATCAGCTGGCCAGACTCCCCATTTGCAGCTCCTCCAGCAGGGGCCTTTGAAGGTGCTCCTTCAGCGGAGAATACGTACCCTGCAGTGTCAGGCAACAAAGCAGATCAAGCATTGCAACAGACTGCAACAACATACTTCTCAGAGCAACAAAACCTAGCACTATCCTCCATCCCAGATATTTCACACAGCAAGAGTTGAAGGGCAAAGCTGCAGAGCCCATGTCAGGATACATGTACATAGCTTTCCAGAATCAGAACATCCTGATGTGAAAATCTTGCTATGAATATGCAAGATTTGCATCCTGCTGTTGGTGATGGACTGCATTGGGGAGGTGCAGGCAATGCCAGCAGTACAACATCCAAGTCTACCCCAGGCAATAACGAAGTCACTGTTGCACAGTGCTCAACCGTTTCAGTGAACACCTCCATCCATGCAAATCTTCGTTGAGTGAATGCCTAGCACTTGCTAGTACCACAACTCACAACATTTCCTTGGCCCTTCAGGACACAACAGGGTTCTTGCATCTTGCACGCTATACTAAGCATCTGTGGCAGTGCCAAGGGGCTGCTAAGAACACAAATTCGATGCAAGTGCTGCACAGGGGCCACTTCTACACAGCAATCTCAAGAACTGAAGAATTGACTTTGGATCTTCTCAACTATATCGCCTGTGTGAGCATCACTGCAGATGTACAGACTGTTTTTCATCACCTTACATGCCCAATACAGTTTCATTGCCACTATTCACATCTCTTCCACTGTGGGGCCCCTGAACGCATTTACACTGCCTGGTGCATGCTGGTGTATGTTTCCCAGCCTTTGCAGGATCCCTCGCCATCCTTCACAGCGCAGAGAGCCTAACCATCGCTGCTGCTTGAAATGGCAGCGCCCAGGACATGTTTCATCCTGGCTTCCATGAATCTTCCCCAAACAGGCGCCTGGGATTAGTTTCTCAATTCCTCTACATGCAACAGAACCCAATCCACAACACTTGCCTGCTTGTTCGTACAGGCTCAGGTTGACCTCCAGCAGCGGCTTCACCCGCTTTGTGTACTCCTGGGGGTCGCTCATCGCCATCTCTGCTGCAATGGCCAGTGCGTGCCTCACAGTGACAGGGTCCCCACTTGACAAGGAGTCATATGACCTCTGCAGCATCTTGCGCTGGCCCACACCCTTCAGAGCAACCCTTGCACTGCTCAGCACAATGCCCTGCAGCATGGCTTTCTCTTTGTGCACGTCCTTCTGGCCTTCTCTTGGTCGCCGGAACAGGCCCCCTCTGGCCTTGGCGTTAGCCTGAGTATCTTTGCTTAACAGTTTCACCAGCATCTCCATTAGCTGGGTCACAACGGGTGGCTTCTCTGCAGCAGGCACATTCTGTTACCACACCACAAATTGGGAGTGCAATTGTATATGGTGCAGTTGGGTGCCAAGTGGTTTATTCCAACAGAACAAAGTTTCAGCCCCTTGAATGAATGAAAGTTAACAAGTGCAGGGTGCAGCCCTGAACAACCAGCAGCAGAAGAATCTAGCAAAACGATCTTGCAGCACTGTGATTGTGGATTGCAATGTGTCACCCAATTACCACTGACTGAAAAAAGCGCCAAAAATCCCTTATCGGATCTCAAGTTGCCCTACCTTGTGATTGCAGGCTGGCAATTAATAACAAACTCATAAGGTAGGAGGGTGGTGGTACCTGAACTCTGACTTGGCATAAAAAGTTTGAAACACAGATTGCAGAACCGCAATTATGCTGGCAAACATCATAGCAACTCACACATGCCAACTGTGGTGAAACAGGCTTACCACTATTTCTCTCATTCAGGCAAACAACTGAATACCAAACAATTGGTATATCATCAGGGGGGCATTGAAATCTAGTGCACCTGGACTGAACAAGTGCACAGGATTTCAGGCTTATGCAGAACTGCATCTATAACATACCGGCATTCATAAGTTACCAAATTTCTCTTGGATGCCTGTGTGGAATCGCAATATTTTTTGATGAAGTTGTGGTGCTCTGGGGCTGGGGGACGGCACAAAGTGCATTGCAAACCTGAAGATGTCCAAGCCAAACGAAATGACAATCGCATGCAAACACAATGTTTCTGTCTCGAGTGCCACGTCATATCACAACACATCATCACAGCGGAAACTCAGGGTCGGCAGAGTGGAGGACCGGAGTTGTGTATATTCCATTTCAACCATTTGCCATCATGCAAGGAGAAACAGCTCCAAATCAAGGGTAAGAGATACAATGTGACGGGCCGCACTGCAACAGATGTGATCATAGAGGGGCATACTTGGCCATTCGCCGTGAAACGTGACACGGCAGTTGAGCTGTGAAATATAACACCAAAACTGAAGAACTGAAGGTGCGCAATGTTGGTTTGGTTCCCACCATTCCGAGATCCGTTACAAAGCTCCAAAAGTCCATATTCCAAAATGCAATCTGGAATTCTGCTTCTGCAAAGGTAGCGAACACATCTTCGATGCTAATGTACCCATTGCACCCTTCAAGCTGCAAGGGCCCTATTTGCCATGGCTTTTTGCTACAGTAATCTCAGGATCACAGCGAGCCACAATTAGATAACATAGTTGTGGTGTTTGGAGTATATGAGCATATGTGCCGACTAAGGCTGAAGGGGTCCTGTGTTGAAGCCATTCACAGGGGGCTGCACAGAATTCTCAGAGTTGTTTTCTGGCAGGGACACCATAGATGTGCCCATGGGAACCTAACATGCTCTGTCACTACTGCATTGCCACTTCTCGTGACATGGGAGTGTTTCCAACAAGGCGGTATGAAAATAAGTTCAGTGGTCTGGACATGCAGGCGCTTTCAGGCTTTGGCACGTACAGATAGCACATCTGGACAACAAATGGACAGACTATTTGCAACATCACCTTGCCAGAGCAGCTGCTCTGCTCTGTCATCTTTTGACATATGCAATCAAGCAATTGCAACTGCATGTTGTGGCATTAAGCAGCAGGGGCTGGAAAGTTCTACTCAGTCTCAGATCACATGTAGATTTCCTATGGGCATGATTGTTCTTGCTAGCTGCCTGTTTTGCACTGGAGCCCCTGCTGCAGCACTTTGCACAAAGCTAGTCTACGGTACATGTCTATGCTTGTAAAGAATGAGCGCATTCTATATGCGATTTGTCATTACACACCCTGTGGCTCCCTACACCCTGTGTCCCATGAAGGTAACATTTAGAGCTGCAGTCTCTTTGTTGAAATCGTGGTCTTTTCGTTAAAAATTGCAGGCTCTTTAGCAGCCAGTGCACCCTTAACTTCCACAACAGGATGCAAACGAGCTTACAGCTTCAGCAAAGAACTTATAGCATCAGCAACAAATCAGGTGGACTGTGGTGGCAAGAAAAAAACTCGGAATAAGCAGATGTTCAGGCAGTGCATATGTCATCGTCCTTCAAGATGCATGGACCTATTTAGTCCTGTGCAGGCAAACATCATCAATACAATTCACTTTTCTAGTACGGCACTGCTGCCCTGCCCAAGATCCCAGCCAAACCATAGTTCTTGCCTTTTAAGCTGGACACCTGCACAGCCCGCACAGCAGCTGCCAGAGCTCTCAGCATCGCCTTTCTCTCAGCAGGATCGCCGTGGGGATCCTTCAAAATGTCCCAAGCCTGTCGCAGCATGTTCAGATCCAGCACAGCCTTTCCCGTGGTGATTGAAGCTTCGCCTGGAAAATGGCATTGCAGAATCTAACATCATTGACAAAATTTGCAAACCCCACCAAAATTCAAGGAATCTGATTTCTGTGGGATATATTTGGTGTAAGAATCGAAAGGCAGATTCAAAAGGATGGACTGAAACCTACAGTTTGCTGCCTCAGACATTGCAACCGACTTACCAGCTTGTGGACAGCACAACGCCAAAGCACCTGCATCTTTTCTTCACTTGCAATCTTCTATTTCTGGGCTAATATGCGCAGGCTATCACCCCTCTTCTACACTACTCATCAAAACAAAGGAGCCAATTTAAGCAGATTGCATGCAGGCCTCTTGAAGCAAACTGTTGTCTGCCACAATCTAGGAGGACGGTCAGCCAGCCATGGGAATGATATCCCAGCACCAGAGCACTAGAGTTGGTTGATTCTGCAGGAACAGTCTTTAGTAGGTGTTTCAAAGAATTCAACTCTCTTGCTCACTCAGCAAATTCTCCACACACAAAGCTGGTGCTTAGAGTATGTTTGAAAGCTGCCAATTCGACCAGCTCTGTTTCTAAGGTCTGGTGGAGTGACTACGTGTCCACAGTACTAGACTCCGAAACCCGAGGCCAGGCTGGCGCTAGGACACCTTCACACACGCTGCCCGTCATCGCCTTCAATGTGCTGGTACACCACACCATGCACCGGTCATTGATGACAGATGGCAGGATGCCCATCGCAGCTCGCTTCAAACACAAGCATACCATCTCCGCAATCCTACCATACCAGCATCCCCACTGCCCCCGGCAGGCGTCCCAGCATCGCCTGGCCCCAGCAACAGCTGCATGAAGTACAGCAGCATCCGCAGCAGACGGCGGTGCTCCTTCTTCTCATCCCCGGTGGTGGACACTAGCTTCAAAAGGGAGGGCATCACCATGTTGGGGAGGGTCCCATAGGCAGAGAGCTTGGGCAGGATCGCACCATGCAGCTGCCTCAGCTGCTTGTCATCCTTATGGGTGGCTGTCGACACTGCCAGGCCAGATGGGATATCAGTCAGAACCATTGTTTGCCACCCAGCTGCGGCAGTGCATCGCTTTGCAGGCGTGTGAGCTTGCTTCGCCCTGATGACTCTGCAGCAGGATATGACACACAAGGAACTAGCGCAGGGCTGCAGAGCATGCAACAGCAAGTTGCATGCTATTTCTGTTGCACCCTGGGACATGTGCTTCTATTCCAACAACATTTAAAGTGCCTCAACAAAATTGTTGCTCGCAAGGGGTCCTCGCTGTTTTCCGTGCTTCCTTTTGTGGCGAAGGTTATCTCCACCAGTCAGCCTCTGGCCAGATTCCACGCGTCAATTTGCTCTGTCCCGCCCTCCCACAGCATGTCCCCATCACGGCGATGCCCAACCGGGCCACATTCTCTCCGCGCTCACCTTTCCCTGGTAAAAGTTATCGATTCAAATCAGCATAGCACCCAGGAAGCAGCCCCAAATCCCTGCAGCACCCAAGCGAGTCGTGCACTCCCGCCACTCATCAAAACGGTCCCCAATTCGGCACGGGGGCCGCGAAACAATCCAGGGGACATCCCGCTCGCTGCGACCTCAGCCAACCTCTTGGCGTGCAAGTCGATCGCCGCGCTCCGCGCATTCGCTGCCATTCAGCTCTCGGAACGTCAGGCAACGTCACACGGACGCCTGGACGGCCAGGCACCCTGCAAGGGGCCCAAACTCGCCACAACGGCCACACCAAACCTCCCCAACCATCGCGATCTTCCAATCGTCCCGCGCCGACGCAGCGACGGCGAAAAAATCCCCGCTGGTGAGCTATTGCGTCACACGTTGCAACAAAGCGTCCCGTGCGGCAGTCCGGATTCCCCGCCCTCTGCGCGCCGCGCCGCGAAGGTTCCTCACCGAGAGCGGTCGACAGGTTTCCGAAGCTGGGATCCTGCAGCACACAGCAGCGCGGCCAACAATCACCATCCGAACCCATCGCCGGCCAATTCACCGCGGCAGAAGCCCGCACGGCCCTTCCCTCCGCCCCCGCATTTTGCCCCTTCCAAACAGAAGGAGCAAGGGGACAAACATCCACCCATTGCTCACCTCATCCTTGGGCAGCCTCTCCAGCACGTAGGCGTTGAGCTGGGGCAGGTGGCTGCCGCTGGGTCCGCGCTGGCCGGCCCCCCCCCGGGCGCTTGCCTTGCCGGCCGCCGCGAGGGCCGCCGGCCCGCGGCCGCCCGCGGGGGGCGCCTCACCGCGGCGGACGATGCGCACCGTCTTTGCAGCAGCAGCCCGGGCGACCGGGGACCGGGGAGCCAAACCGTGGGCGCCGGGGACGAGGCGCGGCGGGGCCCGGGGGTGCGGGGCGGGCAGGGGGTGGGTACGTCCTACAGAGCCCCCAGTCACTCGGCGGGGGACAATGTACACATTGCCCAAACAGTAAGTACTGCTGGGGAAAGGCGGGGGCGGGCGTGCCTAATTGTGCGCCACGAATAGGACAGCTCGAAAGGATAGGAAGGTTGGGCGGGGCCGGGTGCCCCAATCCGGATTGTCGCGGCGTGCTCGGCGAGTACAGTAGGTCGGGTTCGCGGCACCCCACATGCGCAGTGCGTGTTTCACGTGGAACCCCTCCACCGGAGGCTCCTTGACTGCTGGTTGGAGGGTGTTCCCAATGCGTACCTGGAGCACCCCCTGGCCGGTTGACTTATCCTGTCAGTGGTTTGCCCGGGGCAAGCCCCGTCCAGATGTCTTCTTTGCTCTCCGAAAATTTCATTGACAAGCGCGTGGTCACTGGGTGATATTGTCACGTTTTCAAGGGATAAAGAACAATTCTTAAAAGCAATCCTCGTCCATCTGGTGATGTTTGTGTGACGTGAGGTCGGGATGTTATAGGGGCTTTGATTATGGGACCAATGCAAAATGCGAATGGACCATGCGTGTGCTGACAATGTTTTGGTTTGTCACAAATGGTCCACAGCGTGGCCCGCTCGCATGCCAAGGCGACATGAGGGCTATTCGTGCACTTGACGCACCCCATAATGACACAAACGATACGGAGGCAAAAGGTCGTCCACACATGTTTACACATGTCAGTGCAGGGGGTCGATGCTGCATCTGGCACTCTGAAACGGTATTTCGGGCACATGACGGCGAAATTCGACGAAAGCATTATTGCTATGAACTTCTATTGCTCTTGCTATTGCTGCAAAGCTGTTGTACCTACAATGGCGTACACTGAAGGCTATATAGTCCTCTCAGCATGGAAATTCTAAAGCACTTTTCGTTTCTGTTCTCGCTTACCGACTGGCAAAGACACTTCTTCCGTTGCAGAAAAATCGACATCACTTCTGTGGAAGTAGGGATTGATGGATTCTGGATTTCTTTTGTGCAATGACTTGGGATTCATTCAGCAAATAATGGACTCTCCAGTTGTCAGTATTGCTCAGTGGATATGGACAACGGTCGGGTTGCCAATTAGTTGGGCTCATCAAAACATTAATATATTAAATATGTCGCCCAGCTGGCGACCCGCGAGGTCCAGATATGGTGCAGGGGGGATGTCGACAGCCTCAGCACCTCGCCACACTGATCATCATCAAGCAGATTGGCGCCCAATGAGGTGGGAAAACCCCAATCTACCAGTCAGGCGTGCTACATGATTTTCAAGTATTGCGAACTCAAGCACTTAGAACGCAGGGAGATGGTTTCGATGATAAAGATAGACTATGTCAACTTCATCACACGCCCGAAGAGTCCACTAAAGCTATTGTAAAGATGCTGAGCACAACGCCAATACATGGCAGCTCATCAAACGGAGACACATGAACCAGAAACGCCTGGAAAACACCTTGGATTACTAAGGAGCACCCAGGCTGCTATTGGACACGTGCGTTTGCTCAGGGGCTGCACGCCCGGCGGTCTGCTATGGACCTCGGTGAGGCGGAGCCAGAAGGGGCGCGTGGAGGCGCCACGTGGTTGTTTGATGGGAATGTGGCCCGTTAGCCATTACGTCGTCGCTGACAGTGGTAAGTGTGGCTGTTTGATGGAAATATGGCCCTTGGGGCGTTATGTGGTGGCTGATCGTGGGGAGTGGGGCATACCGCATTGAGTTGCGATGAAACGGTGGGCTTGGTAAAAAGATTCCGGGTATCAAAAAAGCATCTCTGAGGAATGGAGGTAATT